TTGCTGCATTGCATGTAAGCATTTAACAAGGTTATGAACAAGAACATGTAGGCTCCTTTGGACATTAACACTTCCCAATCTCTCATGATTTAAGAAATACACTGCACCTTTGCCTTCCCACCAAAACCTCTCACTCATCCACATTGTACTCCATTTGCCATGATCTTGCCCACTCACTCAGTCTGCCCAAGTCCCCATGAAACCTCTTTCTATCCTCCTTACAACTCACATTGCCACCAAGTTTTCCATCAATTGTAGACTTGGAAATTTGTAATTGGTGCCCACATCCAAATCATTGATTTTGATTTTGAAAAAGGTTGAGCCCAGACAATGATCCTTGCAGTGCCCCACTGGTCATAGCCTGCCAACCTGAAAATGACCCATTCGTTCCTACCATCTGCTTTCTGGCTGTTAATCAATCCTTAATCCATACTAGCATATTACCCAATCCTACACGCTTTAATTTTTTTTACCAAATTCCCTTTCCAAAAGCCTTCTGAAAATCCGCATTACTTCTCAATGCTGACAAACGTGCAATGTCGAGCACCTCCCCTTCCCCCAATTCTCACTTTAGGGGATGCAGTTTTAATTGATCCTCGTTATACTGAGCTGTTTCTTCTAGTCACGCATCTGAAACGTACAAAACGTCTGTCAGCAACTGTCCTTGCGACACCCTGATCCTGACCAAAAGCAAAAGATTTTAATCTTGCAAAAGGTTGGATCAGATTGACTATGTTACCTACCACCCAAACGTCCATAGGAGCTCTTCAACTTCAAAGGGAGTAGCCCTGATACATGTAGAGATAGTAAGAACTACCGATGCTGGAGTCTGAGATAACACCCGACCTGAAACGTCAGCTTTCCTGCTCCTCTGATGCTGCCTAGCCTGCTATGTTCATCCAGCTCCACACTGTGTTATCTTATTCCTGGTACATGTCTTCTCTTTGACAGCTCCAATACAGGACACTAAAACTCAAGTTCACTGCAGTCATCATTGACTTATTGTCACTTTTCCCAAAGGCCAAGCTTATCTTCAGTCCACTAAGCTTTATCCATTGTTGCATATCCCTAACTTACAAGTAAGTGGAGTTAAAATACTGATCAACTATGATTTGATTAAACTGTGTCCGAGGCATGAGGAGCGGAACTGTCTACTCGTGTACTATTAATGCAGCTCAATTCTGCTCAGGGACATGAAAATGTACCAAAAAAAAAAGAAAGACGACGTTGAGAATTTATCGAATCTCCTGCCAGACTTCTGCATGTTGAACATGACTGTGATGCTCTACATCCTTTCTTTGCAGCATCACATTACAAAGCTTTGCTCTTTATTATAAACCAGGCAGAATCAATTGAATGGGTTTAGTTTGGGGCAATTAAAAAAAAAAAAAATCACCAACTATTGAAAACATCAAGGCTTATAAAAAATCACACTTTGAGGTCGACACATTCTGTGGAGCCACAACTCACAATCACATCAACACATTGAACAATTAATTAACCGAACTCACAGGATACAGAAAATACATGAAAATATTGGATTACGCAGCATAACAGGAGGTGCTTTAGAACACTTCAAAGATCAGCATGTAGAATTTAAATCTGGTACAAATATGTCATATATTTCCTTTCAATCAAGGTACCTCCAACGAACTGACTCTGCATGAAGCACTGAGATATTATAAAAAGATGAAGGTTCAAGTAGAAATCTTTTGGTCATGGAATTCACTCATGAATTGAAACTCTCATTGTCACATTGCAATGATATTTCTCCAATATCTTTAAATGCTTCATGTACAGTCAGTTAACTGGAGGTGCGTTGGTTGAAAACAAAAGTGGGCTTGTGGAATGCGCTGCCAGCAGTGGTAGTGGAGTCAGATACTTTAGAGACATTTGAGCAACTCTTGGATGGGCACATGGAGGATAGTAAAATGTAGGGTACGCAGGGTAGACTGATCTTAGTAGGATAATAGGTCGGCACAACATCGTGGGCTGAAGGGCCTGTACTGTGCTGTACTGTTCTATGTTCTATGAAAGCAGGTAAGAAATATTAGTGCCAGATTTAAATCGTAAATGTTTATCCACAAAATGCCCTCAAGTATCTGCTTCTGCACTGTAAAACCAACCAGTTAAGTGACTTTTACGAAGTAGGCAATAATGAAATGGTTTGAAAGTACTTATATCATCACTTGCAGATTTAAATACAGTACCCATTAATATCCTGTCCCAATCCATGCATTTCTATATTTTCCTCACGTACTTTTGCATTAACCAGCATTACCTCAGATTATCGCTGTCACTCTTTCAATCAGACCTGAAGTTTCAAATGGGGTTAAACACAAGGACTGACAGAAATTTTCCACGTGACAATAGAATAGGTCAAAGCCTTGGAACTTGAACTGTATCATCCAGGTCTGCAAACTGCTACAAGTCTAATCAATTCTTATTAAATTGAGGTCCATAATTTGGTACTATTACAGCTTGCACCACTGCCAATGAAGCAATTTGCAGGTGCATACTGTAATTTAACGTAAGTTGACAGTGTTGTAAGAGGCAGGGAGGTATTGAAGCCTCCAAATTTTGCCTGTTCCATTTTGGTTTCCCAGTTCTAACTCTGGTTTTTAGGCAACCTGGCTGGAGCAGGACACACAGATCAGTAGCCATCTTTGTTCCTTTAAGAGACTCTGTCCCCTTTCCCACGTGTCTTCTCCTTCTCACGACCTATATGATGCCCCGATACAACACACCCTTCATTATTTTTGTTCTGTCAGTTTGGCTTTGTCAATAAGTAAGAAAGAAAACATATTTTCAGCAAGACTAAATTCCAGACGCTTAAGTGTCAAAAATATTCTTTTACTTCTGCAACTTTCATTCCAATTTGAAAAAGTCTAAACAAAATCTCAGATTTCCCCTGGGTCCAGGTTTCAAAACTTACACAATTTACTGCAGCCAAATTCTCCCCAGAGACCCAGTGGAGCATAGCATAAACTCCAATGCAAGGGCCAAGGACAACTTACGAAAAGGGGGGAATGCATATAGAGTTTTGTAACGATTGAAATAGTAAGATGATTAACAGTCAAACTGTTGAAACACTCCTGCTTCTAATTCCACAAATGGCTGAAAATAGTGGATTTTACAAAATTAGTGAAAGAGGATTAAAACAGGGAGAAAGAGGGAGAGAGAAAAAAATACAAAATAGGGGTTATAGAAAATGAAGAAGTGCACAGGGGAGAGATAAAGAGAGAGAGAAGGTAAGTGAGAAAGAGTGAGTGACAACTTTGAGAAAGAAAGCATGCAAATGAGCAACGAAGAGTGAAAGATGGATTCAGAGAGCAGTGAGCAGGTGCATATCACTTTAAAACCGATTATAAAAGTGGTGATGTACAACTGGTCAATCAGCATCTGAAGGAAAAATGATAGATCCGGAATTCAGATTGACTTGTCATTACAGTTAGCTGCAAATTCTCTAACTGGAGAATTTAAACCATGACAAGTCTGTAGCAGCATGGACAATTGTTTTAGCATCAAAATCTGCCCACATTAATAAGACATCATGACAATACCTTTGAAGCTCAGTAATTCTTTTCAAGTATAAAAAAGCTTTTGTATTTGGTGGCAGGATAGGAAAAATGTCATAGTGTATGTGTGAAATCCACCAACCAATCCTTCACAGACCCAGTTTCCCAGGGTTTACTGCATCATTTCCACCTGAATATTATTCTCCCTAAGCAGGTTTTTATTCAGAATCCTCAAACATCCAGAAAATAACCCGTTCAATTAAACCAGCTCACTGACCACAACTTTCAGGTTTAGATTATAGTTTCTACAGAAGCACTATTAAACCAACAACTTCAGGGACGTCCAGAAATGGCGAGGCAGCATCTGTAGAGAAAAGATAAGTTTCCTGTTCTATCGTAGGCTCAACAGTCAAATGTCACGACTTGCCTTTGTTCTTCACAGATGCCTACTGACCACTTTTGGTAGTTTCTCAGCAATCACCAAGCGATATTAGATTTACAGCCTGGATAACATTCTCATCCGCTCCAGTTTATCATTTGTCACAATGACAAGATGTCTGTTGGTACGTGCTTTAAATGCTCATTGAAGATAGTAACTCACAATTAGAGTAAGAATTGTTGCTTCCAATGGAGAAAACATGGCAGGTACTTTTTACAAATCTCACAATGCTAAATGTTCCAACCATACACCACAGGAACAGCAATAGGTCATTCAATCCTTCAAGCCTGTTCCATCATTCAATGAGATTGTAGCTGATCTGTGGCCTAACATCATATATCTGCCTTTGGCCCACATCCCTTAAGATTTTTGCTTAACGAAAATCTATCTATCTCAGAGTTAAAATTAACAAGTGATCTAGCATCCACTGTGGAGAAGAGGTCCAAAAGTTTACCACCCTGTGTGTAGAAGTGCTTCCTAACATTTCTGCTGAATAGTTTGGCCCAATTCTCAGACTACATCACCTAGTTCTAGAATCCCCAACCAGTGGGAATATTTTATCTTTATCGACCCTGTCTTTCCTGGTTAATATCTTTATAAGTTCAATCAGATCACCCCTAACCTTCTAAATTAAAGAGAAAACAAGCCCTATTTCTTTCATCTCTCCTCATAACTTAATCCTTGGCGTGTATAGCATTCTCGTGAGCCTATGTTGCACTCCCTCCAAGGCCAGTGTACCTTCCTAAGATGTTGTGCCTTGATCTGCTTATAGTACTCCAAGTAGGGTCTGACCTGAGTTTTGTATAACTGCAGGATAACTTCTGCATCCTTGTACTCCAGTCCTCTCGATATGAAGGCCAGCATTCCATGAGCTTTCTTGATATTTTCTGAACCTGTTTGTGACATTTAAAAAAGAAATCCATGTGCCTGAAGCCAAGTCTCTTTGGACATCCACTCTATTAAACTTCATACCATATTGCCAGTGTACTGTCAATAATACCCAGTTAGCATACTCCAGGAATGATACACAAGCCTTTCCTTACCTCACAGTATACAATATCTGCTCCATAATCTAGTGCCAGTAATCTCATCGGTAAGGTACCAACACGCACCATAGGGGCTAGGATCACCTTGTTTCTATAACAAAGTCTGTTAACAGTTTGGTTGATCATTTCTTCTGTAGCCTGCAGGAGGGAACAAAACATGTCTTTACCGAATGTCATCTGTGGTTTGGCAAACTTGATGAAACCACCACCACTTCCAATATTTACACCTCAACTTTAATGGGGAAAGTGATGTTGCAGTGCCACAATTGAATAAAAGTAGAAACAGAGCTAAAGGAAATATTAGCACAGGGCAACTGAAACCACACAGTTAAAGAGATGAGCTTAAGGAGAATCTTAAAGCAGGAGATAGAATTTGGAGAAAACTATTCCAGAACTTCAAATAGCTGATGGCACAGAGGGTAATTGTGGGGTAAAGGGGTCAGAGGCAGGTGGACCAGACTGTAGGTGGTTACAGAAACAGGCAAAGTGAGGTCACAGACTTAAACACCACAATGAGCAGTTTAAATTACTGCGGACCAAGAGCTAATTCAGGTCAACAAGAGAAGACAAGTTAAAACAATTTGTTTCATTTCTTGTAAAAGGAGGATACTGCTGGTGTTGGAAATCTGAAACAAGCATAGAGAATGGTGGAGAAACTCAGCAGGGTCTGGCAGCACCTGTAGAGACAGAAACAGAGTTAATGTTAAGAGACTATAGATCAGTTAAATGAATGGACAAAGATCTGGCAAATGGAGTACGATGTAGGAAAATGATAGTGTTAATTTTGGCAGGAAGAATTTTTTAAAAATTATCTAAATGTTGAGAGTTTGCTGAGAGACATTGGTGTCACAGTGCATGAATCACAAAAAGATTATTATGCAGGTACAGCAAGTTACTAGGAAAACTAATAGAGAAAGTTATAGTTAATTGCAAGGAGAACATAGGGAGGGTATGCTTCAGTTTTACAGGACACTGATGATGCCACACCTGCAGCACTATGGACAGAGATAGTAGGAACTGCAGATGCTGGAGAATCTGAGATAACAAGGTGTAGAGCTGGATGAACACCGCAGGCCAAGCAGCATCAGAGGAGCAGGAAGGCTGACATTTCGGGCCTAGACCCTTCTTCAGAATTC